TATTCAGACAAATACAGTTATAGTCATCTGATAATTTGCATTCCCACTGAGGCATGTAATTCCTTGGCTGGGAAAAGAGTGAGGATAAATCTATTATCAACACAGACCTATTTCACAAGGACATTAAAAAAAGACAGCATCGTTTACTACTTTAGGTACTTTGTTCAGCATAAAGTTCTCTTTCTTGTTTTTAATGTTTTCTTTTTTTTTTTTTTTGAAAGTTCTCTTTCTTGAAAAGCAGGGTGTTATAGTTGGACACATTGAAATTGAGAGATCTTTTGTGAAACATACTTTCCGCCAGGACACTCTCTGTTGTACTTTGGAGTCACTGGAAAAAAGAGTTTTAGTTATCTGAGGAGACAAACCACATGACAGAATACTTAGTGCAGGAGGTTGAAGATGCTGACACCTCACTCTGTTTCCTTCTCTCCAATCACAGGAATTCTGGGACGCAAGTGAACACGGTAAATATTCAGGGATCAACACTCTGCTGAGGTACAATCCATCGGATAAAGCTGGGGTTTTCTGACTGGCTCTGGTTGGAGAGTGGCCCTGATGCTGGATCCCTACTTGGGGTGCGGGCTGGAGGTGCATGGAAGAGACTGATCTCCCGGGATAGAATAATGTCTTTATTCTATGGTACCTGGAAGCAACTACATCATTTAGATGCTGTGGGTTTGTGTGAATCGGGCATGGGGGCCCATGTGTGGGCCCAGTGGTGTGATTCTGATGCTCTGTGTCTGTGTGTGTTTCCTCAGGAGATGTTTTCCTCCTACACAGCACAAGTCACCTGTGAACTTTCTAAACACTTCTTATCACCACTTCCCACTGACTATACATTACTTGATTCTTTCCTCAGCTCAGCCATTCCTCATGTTTGGTTAATATTCATTTTCCTCAAGTGAAGAAGGTGCTGAGGACAATGGCCCAAGCTGTTGACAATTCTATGTTGAAAAGGCAAACTGAGAACATAGGTGTGTTCCCAATGTGACTGCTCTGGACCCCTGACTTTCACTTATCACTCAGCGTTGAAAGCCTAGTCATGGGGTAAGGTCTGGCTGCATCTGTGCTTTTGCCTGGAGGTACTTGAGCTCCAGAGATCCAGACCGTGTGCATCATTGCAAGGTGGTCTCAGTGGTCAAGGAACCCAGGGCAAATATAAGCAGATTATCACGAACTTTAGCACAGTCATTACTGTCAAAGGCACCTAGGGACTGACATCCTCCTAGTCAGTTCACAGAACTGGGAGTTGTATGCCCTGGTTTAGACAGAACAGGCCAAATCTGTTCCTGCTAGTGTCATTGCTTAACCAAGGACAAAAGCAGATTACCATCAGGGAGATATTTCATTGTACTGGGTGACAACACCATAAGCCTTAGGTCGGTTCAGCCCTGCAGCACACTCTCAAGGGCAGGTGTCAAATAGATCTCCTGGTGGAACTTGACAGTCTGCTTGGTGACTCGACTCTAGTAAACTTCGTGCATACCTGAGTCCAAGGAAGTCAGCGTTTGCCCCAGGCTTTCTCTCCATAGTGAACTGTCCCACTCAATGTATGGCTTCTCTGAGTGTCAGCAGACACTCATTCAGGGACGCGCTAATGTTGGTTGGACAATTAAGAATGGCAAGAAACATTACCTGAGTGGTTCTAGCTTAATAGCTATTTGGCAAGTTAGAATTGAATTCAGTCCTCTAGAGGAGACTCTTTTTCATCAAGAACAAAGGCTCTCAGAAAACTCAGTAAGTGCAATAGCTGTAACTGAATCCTGAGGAGGCAGTGATCTAGGAAGAAATCCTTCTGGATAGGTGTTGTTTTGCAGAAGATGTAAACAGGCAGAAGGTTCCTGACTCTCTGTCATTGAAAGGTGGCATGCATTTTAGTGTTTCTTATTTTCCGATCTGTGAGGTAATCACTAGTTAAAATGCAGAGGTTCTCTTTCACTATTTCCTGCTCTTCCAATTTGCTCTTATTTATGCAACAAAGAGGATGATTCAACAGCCACTCAGTCCCAAGTTACTAATGCCTTAAGCATACAGTCCACCCCATGCCCCCGCCCCCCAAGAAAGATTCCTGAGTGGTTAGTGACCAGCTTCTCCTGTTCACCAATGTCTCTTCCTTGTCCCTCTAGCTCCCCAGGCGGATCTGGAAGAGGCAACATGCCACGACTTGACTGAGGTAAAGGCTCTGAGTACTGTGAATGTAACTGCACCTTTCTTTATCTGTGATAAGATTGTTGCTTCACTTTATTTGTTATTCAGACAAATACAGTTATAGTCATGTGACAATTTGCATTCCCACTGAGGCATGTAATTCCTTGGCTGGGAAAAGAGTGAGGATAATTCTATTATCAACACAGACCTAATTCACAAGGACATTAAAAAAAGACAGCATCATTTACTACTGTAGGTACTTTGCTCAGCATAAAGTTCTCTTTCTTGTTTTTAATGTTTTCTTTTTTTTTTTTTGAAAGTTCTCTTTCTTGAAAAGCAGTGTGTTATAGTTGGACACATTGAAATTGAGAGATCTTTTGTGAAACATACTTTCCGCCAGTACACTCTCTGTTGTACTTTGGAGTCACTGGAATAAAGAGTTTTAGTTATCTGAGGAGACAAACCACATGACAGAATCCTTAGTGCAGGAGGTTGAAGATGCTGACACCTCACTCTGTTTCCTTCTCTCCAATCACAGGAATTCTGGGATGCAAGTGAACACGGTAAATATTCAGGGATCAACACTCTGCTGAGGTACAATCCATATGATAAAGCTGGGGTTTTCTGACTGGCTCTGGTTGGAGAGTGGCCCTGATGCTGGATCCCTACTTGGGGTGTGGGCTGGAGGTGCATGGAAGAGACTGATCTCCCGGGATAGAATAATGTCTTTATTCTATGGTACCTGGAAGCAACTAAATCATTTAGATGCTGTGTGTTTGTGTGAATCGGGCTTGGGGGCCCATGTGTGGGCCCAGTGGTGTGATTCTGATGCTCTGTGTCTGTGTGTGTTTCCTCAGGAGATGTTTTCCTCCTACACAGCACAAGTCACCTGTGAACTTTCTAAACACTTCTTATCACCACTGCCCACTGACTATACATTACTTGATTCTTTCCTCAGCTCAGCCATTCCTCATGTTTGGTTAATATTCATTTTCCTCAAGTGAAGAAGGTGCTGAGGACAATGGCCCAAGCTGTTGACAATTCTATGTTGAAAAGGCAAACTGAGAACATAGGTGTGTTCCCAATGTGACTGCTCTGGACCCCTGACTTTCACTTATCACTCAGCGTTGAAAGCCTAGTCATGGGGTAAGGTCTGGCTGCATCTGTGCTTTTGCCTGGAGGTACTTGAGCTCCAGAGATCCAGACCGTGTGCATCATTGCAAGGTGGTCTCAGTGGTCAAGGAACCCAGGGCAAATATAAGCAGATTATCACGAACTTTAGCACAGTCATTACTGTCAAAGGCACCTAGGGACTGACATCCTCCTAGTCAGTTCACAGAACTGGGAGTTGTATGCCCTGGTTTAGACAGAACAGGCCAAATCTGTTCCTGCTAGTGTCATTGCTTAACCAAGGACAAAAGCAGATTACCATCAGGGAGATATTTCATTGTACTGGGTGACAACACCATAAGCCTTAGGTCGGTTCAGCCCTGCAGCACACTCTCAAGGGAAGGTGTCAAGTAGATCTCCTGGTGGAACTTGACAGTCTGCTTGGTGACTCGACTCTAGTAAACTTCGTGCATACCTGAGTCCAAGGAAGTCAGCGTTTGCCCCAGGCTTTCTCTCCATAGTGAACTGTCCCACTCAATGTATGGCTTCTCTGAGTGTCAGCAGACACTCATTCAGGGACGCGCTAATGTTGGTTGGACAATTAAGAATGGCAAGAAACATTACCTGAGTGGTTCTAGCTTAATAGCTATTTGGCAAGTTAGAATTGAATTCAGTCCTCTAGAGGAGACTCTTTTTCATCAAGAACAAAGGCTCTCAGAAAACTCAGTAAGTGCAATAGCTGTAACTGAATCCTGAGGAGGCAGTGATCTAGGAAGAAATCCTTCTGGATAGGTGTTGTTTTGCAGAAGATGTAAACAGGCAGAAGGTTCCTGACTCTCTGTCATTGAAAGGTGGCATGCATTTTAGTGTTTCTTATTTTCCGATCTGTGAGGTAATCACTAGTTAAAATGCAGAGGTTCTCTTTCACTATTTCCTGCTCTTCCAATTTGCTCTTATTTATGCAACAAAGAGGATGATTCAACAGCCACTCAGTCCCAAGTTACTAATGCCTTAAGCATACAGTCCACCCCATGCCCCCGCCCCCCAAGAAAGATTCCTGAGTGGTTAGTGACCAGCTTCTCCTGTTCACCAATGTCTCTTCCTTGTCCCTCTAGCTCCCCAGGCGGATCTGGAAGAGGCAACATGCCACGACTTGACTGAGGTAAAGGCTCTGAGTACTGTGAATGTAACTGCACCTTTCTTTATCTGTGATAAGATTGTTGCTTCACTTTATTTGTTATTCAGACAAATACAGTTATAGTCATGTGACAATTTGCATTCCCACTGAGGCATGTAATTCCTTGGCTGGGAAAAGAGTGAGGATAATTCTATTATCAACACAGACCTAATTCACAAGGACATTAAAAAAAGACAGCATCATTTACTACTGTAGGTACTTTGCTCAGCATAAAGTTCTCTTTCTTGTTTTTAATGTTTTCTTTTTTTTTTTTTGAAAGTTCTCTTTCTTGAAAAGCAGTGTGTTATAGTTGGACACATTGAAATTGAGAGATCTTTTGTGAAACAGACTTTCCGCCAGGACACTCTCTGTTGTACTTTGGAGTCACTGGAATAAAGAGTTTTAGTTATCTGAGGAGACAAACCACATGACAGAATCCTTAGTGCAGGAGGTTGAAGATGCTGACACCTCACTCTGTTTCCTTCTCTCCAATCACAGGAATTCTGGGACGCAAGTGAACACGGTAAATATTCAGGGATCAACACTCTGCTGAGGTACAATCCATATGATAAAGCTGGGGTTTTCTGACTGGCTCTGGTTGGAGAGTGGCCCTGATGCTGGATCCCTACTTGGGGTGCGGGCTGGAGGTGCATGGAAGAGACTGATCTCCCGGGATAGAATAATGTCTTTATTCTATGGTACCTGGAAGCAACTAAATCATTTAGATGCTGTGTGTTTGTGTGAATCGGGCTTGGGGGCCCATGTGTGGGCCCAGTGGTGTGATTCTGATGCTCTGTGTCTGTGTGTGTTTCCTCAGGAGATGTTTTCCTCCTACACAGCACAAGTCACCTGTGAACTTTCTAAACACTTCTTATCACCACTGCCCACTGACTATACATTACTTGATTCTTTCCTCAGCTCAGCCATTCCTCATGTTTGGTTAATATTCATTTTCCTCAAGTGAAGAAGGTGCTGAGGACAATGGCCCAAGCTGTTGACAATTCTATGTTGAAAAGCCAAACTGAGAACCTAGGGGTGTTCCCAGTGTGACTGCTCTGGACCCCTGACCTTCACTTATCACTCAGCGTTGAAAGCCTAGTCATGGGGCAAGGGCTGGCTGCATCTGTGCTTTTGCCTGGAGGTACTAGAGCTCCAGAGATCCAGACCGTGTACATCATTGCAAGACGGTCTCAGTGGTCAAGGAACCCAGGGCAAATATAAGCAGATTATTACCAACTTTGGCACAGTAATTATCGTCAAAGGCCCCTAGGGACTGACATCCTCCTAGTCAGTTCACAGAACTGGGAGTTGTATGCCCTGGTTTAGACAGGACAGGCCAAGTGTGTTCGTGCTAGTTTCATTGCTTAACCAAGGACAAAAGCAGATTACCATCAGGGAGATATTTAATTGTACTGGGTGACAACACCATAAGCCTTAGGTCAGTTCAACCCTGCAGCACACTCTCAAGGGCAGGTGTCAAATAGATCTCATGGTGGAACTTGACAGTCTGCTTGGTGTCTTGCCTCTAGTAAACCTCGTGCATACCTGAGTCCAAGAAAGTCAACGTTTGCCCCAGGCTTTCTCTCCATAGTGAACTGTCCCACTCAATGTATGGCTTCTCTGAGTGTCAGCAGACACTCATTCAGGGACACGCAAATGTTGTTTGAACAATTAAGACTGGCAAGAAACGTTACCTGAGTCGTTCTAGCTTAATAGCTATTTGGCAAGTTAGAATTGAATTCTGTCCTGTAGTAGAGACTGCTTTTCATCAAGAACAAAGTCCCTCAGAAAACTCAGTAAGTGCAATAGCTGTAACTGAATCCTGGAGAGGCAGTGATGTAGGAAGATGTCCTTCTGGATAGGTGTTGTTTTGCAGAAGATATAAGCACACAGGAGGTTCCTGAGTCTGTGTCATCGAAAGATGGCATGCATTTTAGTGTTTCTTGTTTTCCAAAAATGCCGATGTTCTCTTTCATTTCTTTCATGCTCCTCTCATTTTTACTCCTTCATCTAGCAAAAAGGATGATTCATCAGCAGCTGATTACATATTTAGTTAGCTCCCTCATGCATACTCTACACCCCTTGTCCATCTCAAAAAAGAGTAAAAGCTGAGTGATTGTTGAATAGCCTCACCAGTGTCCTAACAGCTACTCTGTCCCTGTAGCTCCCGAGGAATACGTTGTGGAGGAACTGTGCTTTCTATAATCAACTGTCCCACTCAACCGATGGCCCCTGTGCATATGGACAACTACTGGATCAGTGGAAATTCACACACTTTATAGAAAATGAATATTGATAGATAAATTCTGTATTATTCATAATGGCTATTTTTAAGTGCTAGGAATTCAGAAATATAAAATCTTGTGTATTTGCTTTTCTTTAAGACAATTAATTAGTGAATTAATAGCATAGTATACTTTGCCAGGATTGAATTCAGTCCTGTAACCGAGTTTACTTTAAATCAATTACAAAACCTTATAGAAGTCATGATGAACAGAGTAGCAGCAACTGTGGCTCTCAGAGGAAGAGTGATCTGGGAAAAATCAAGAGACAGTGGCAATTTACCCGAAGCTCACAATGAGCAGGAGCAGTCATGGTCTCTCTCACTGAACAGTACTTACATTTTAGAGTTTTCCATGTTTTAGGTTGAATATTTCCTGTTGATTAGGCTCCTCTAGCTAGAAGGCCAACGATCTGCATTCATTTCCTTCCACCTCTCCTTTACTTTCCTTCCTCCTCCAAAGAGGATGGATGAACACAAGTTCAGTCCATGCTTATTAACCTCCCACATCCATACACACCACCCCATGTCCACACAAAGAGAAAACCCCCTGCATGATTCCTGAGCAGCCTCACCGCTGTTCTAACAGCTACTCTGTGTCCCTCTAGGTTTCACTGAGGACCTGCCAGTCAACCCAGCTTGTGACAAGACAAAGGAGACTCCATGTGCCTCCAAGGAAAGATTTTTTTCCTTTTTTCTGGTCTGAAATAGAAATATTGTTTCCTTTCTTTTTAAGTACAATTAAGTTGTGCATCTTTGAAGGTGTTCCTTTCAGACAGAGGCGATTTCCTTGGTTGGGATAATGTGAAGTGATATACTTATTACCAAATCATGATGCCTCAGTCCACAGGATATTAAAATTGTTAGCATCCATTACACCCTGTAGAGTACAGAGTTCTCTCTCCTGCAGCAAGATTTCCTCTAAGAAAAGAATTCTGCAATTTCCAATCCAAATGAACTTGGAAGTTCCATCCTCCAGGCAAAGGTCTTGCCTTTCATCCTGAGTATGTGTGTTCTGATAGTGATGGGTTCCGTGGACTTCACCACTGTTCCTCATCAGGAACTGTCACCAAATGAACCAAAGACTGTGCATCTATGTGATCTTATCCTCATAGTGTCTTCTCTTCTGTACTTGCAGGTAGCTCTTTCAGAATGTGAAAGTCGTATGTATTCTAGAATCATTCATTTTAGGAGAAAAATTTGTAGATGAGAAAGTTGGGGCTTTCTCTCTGGTTTTAGTGTAGACGCCAAACTGATTCAAAATTCATGGGGGCAATGAGTATAGGGGCCCTCATGATAGAAAGTAATTTATAAGTAGAGCAATGTGGCTGATTACTGTAGTCCCAGGAAGAAGCTGTGTTATGGTTAATAGTGTGGGTTTTTGTCCATGGGATTGGGTGTATATCTGTGTGTAATGAACAGTGTGATTCTTCATGTGTCTGTGAATGTTTTTGTCTTGTGTTTTCCTCAATATTTGTCACCCTAAATGTCACTGTTACTGGTGTCAACTTCCCCCAAAAATTTCCCATCACCATGAGCCATTAATGAGTATATATATGTGTGTGTGTGTGTGTGTGTGTGTGTGTGTGTGTGTGTATAAAATTAAGCCAAGTATACACATTCACTGTATCCATTGATTTTATACCAAGTGAACATCCATTACCCTGAAAGACACATCCCGTCCCTACCCAGGAAAATGTTCACCCTGGAGTCTTTTTAACTTTTCTTAATTTTTTCTTGGCTCTGCTGGGTCTTCGTTGCTGCGCAGGGTTTCCTCTGCTTGTGGAGAGTGAGGGCATCTCTCGCGTTGCGGTGTGCACGCGTATCACTTTAGTGCTTCTTTTGTTGCAGAGTGTGGCTTCTAGGGCTCTTGGGCTTCAGTAGTTTCAGAAGCTGGGCTCTGTGCTTGTGCCTCCTGGACTCTAGAACGCGGTTCAGTCCTTGTGGTGCACCAGCAGGTTTAGGTTCTGCGAGGCATGTGGACTCTTTCCAGACCAGGGATTGAGCTCGTATCTCCTGCATTGGCATGTGGATTCTTACCCATTGATGCACCAGTGAAGCCCTGTATGATTCTTAGAAAACAAGACCATGTTTCAGTATCTCCCTCCTGGGTCCGTCACCCCTTCATTTAATCATAAATCCCATTTCTTAATAGGTCTTGTAGCATTTTGTTTGGTCATGATTCATCACTCCGCCATTTCCCTCATTCAAACTCTTTCCTATTACAGCCTCAGAATGAATCTCACCCCCTCAATCAAGGCCCCCAGTACTGGGGAGGCTCTTTCCTTCTGCAGAGAGCCCCTGGTGGTACCCACATGCCACACCTAGGTCTAGAGGAATCTGAGAAAAAAGGAACCTAAAAGCATAGATGAAGTTCAGTCCAGCTTTGCCTCTTAAGCTTTGAAGTGTCCAGTCAGGCCTGTTAATTCAATGCCCTGTGTTTTTCAGCTTGTCTCTAGAACTTTTCCATCCTGCAACAAAAATTTTATAACCATTGAACAGACACTCCCTCTGTCAACCTCCTCCCAGTTCTTGGAACCACCCTTCTACTCTCTGCTTCTCTGAATTTTCCTTCAGATACATCAGGTAAATGGAATTGTGCAGTATTTGTCCTCCTTTGACCTCCTTATTTCACTCTTACCAATATCCTCGAGCTTCATTCACGGTGCTGCAAATGACAAGATGTCCTTCATTTTAAAATGCTGAAACACCTTGCAGTGTATGTATACACCACATTTTCTTTTTGATTTATCTGCCCGTGGACACTGGGCAGTTTTCTTGGATTTTGTGTACAATACAGCAATGGATACATGATTGTAGATATCTCCTGGATATTCTCATTTTATCTTCTTTGGACATAAACTCAAAAGAGTGATTCCTGGATCTTATGATCGTTCTCTTAACATTATTTTCTTTTTATAATACACAGCCTGAAAGGTGATATCTCCTTTTGACTTGGTTTCTATTTCACTGATACTTAGTGATGTTGAGCACTATGCCTATGAATATTGGTCACTTCTCTGTCTTCTATGAAGAAATATCTATTGAAGCCTTTTACACATCTTTTATTTTTTTTAAGTCGGTTATTTGCCTGTTGTTGTTTTGAAGTTGAGCTGTAGTAGTTGCTATATATTCTGAATATTGGCCCATTATGCAGATACAAAGTTTGCAGATACTTCTTCTCATTTCATCAGTTTACCTTTCTGCTGATTGTTGAGGAGACCATCCTTTCTTTACATGGTCATTTTAGAACCCTGGCAAAGATCATTTGGCCTCATATGTGTGAATTTATTCAAGATTCCATCCTTGTGATTTATTGGTCTCTCTGCCTGTTTTATTGCAGGTAGAAGACAGTTTTGACTGTTGTGGCATTCTTACCTGTTTTGAATTCAGGAAGCCCCATTGTCATTATTTGCTCTCAGGACTGTTTCTGCTCTTTGGGTTTCTCTTCAGTTGCATAAGTTTTAGTATTTGAGGATTTTTTATTTCCATTGTGATTTTTTATTTCCAAAATGTCATGAGACCTTGTCAGTGGTTTCAACATATATGTTCATCACTTTTAGGAGTATAGGAAGGTCAACAACACTAAATATTCCAGTTTATGAGTATGGTGTGTCATTCCAATTACTTGTCTCTTCTTTCTTTCAAAAGTATTCTATGGTGTTCAGTGCACAAAATTTTCA